GATCAAAGTTCTAGTTTTACGTTCAGCTACACCATTAGATTGAGGAGAGTATGGTGGTGTAGTTTCATGAACTATTCCTAAAGACTATATATGTTCAATTAATCCAAGTAATTCATACTCTCTACCTCTATCACTTCTAAATCGTTTAATTTTTTTTATCAAAGCAATTTTCTACTTCTTTAATAAAAATGGTATGCTTTTCAAAAACATCACTTTTATTTTTCATAAGATAAACATAAGTGTATTATGAAAAGTCATCGATGAAAGTAATAAAATATCTTTTTCCACCACAAGTCAAAATTCCTTCAAATTCACATATGATCGTATATATCAATTCTAATAATTCAGAATTTCTTTCTACTTTGATATGAGGCTGTTTTGTTATTTTTGTCATGCTACAATGTTCACATTTTTCAAAATTATTGTGTAACTTGGGCAATAAACCTATATGACTCATATTTTTCAAATATTTGCTATTAACATGACAAAGACGAGCATGCCACATATTCACACAAGAAACAATGTAAACAAAAGAAGTAATTTTATTCATTTCAACATTCAGCTTAAACATATCATCACAAGCATAACCTTTCCCAACAATTAACCCATTCTTGGTCAAAACAAATTGATTAGATTCTATGATTTGTTTGAAACCAGCCTTATTTAAAAGATAACCAGAAATCAAATTCTTTCTGATTTCAAGAGTATGAAGAACATCTCTTAGGGTCAAAACTTGGCCAGAGGTAAATTTGAGTTGGACATCTCCCATGCCCAAAACACTCATAGTATGTGAATCACCAAACAACACTTTTTTGTCATTTTCAATAGGAGAAAAAGACTTGAACCAAAATTTATCATGACAAACATGCCTGGAAGCTCCAGAATCTATCCACCACCCTTCATCATTCTCAATAAAATTAACTTCAAAAATCATGGCCACAAGTGGTTCCTCGGTCACATTAGCTTGAGGAGTATAACCCCGTTTTTCTAAAACGACAATCTTTTACAAAATGACCAGACTTTCCTCAAACAAAACAAGCACCATTATTTGACTGATTAATTTTTTTATATGGTACTTGTTTCGAAGGGAGTCCTTGGTTTGGTGCTTGGTTCCATTTCTTTTGAGAATGATTTTTATTTGAAGCCCTATTAAACCTATTCATGTTATTACCTCTAGGCTTCAAATATGCACTGTTTCTATTATTTTGACCCTTAGAGATGTTATCATTAGATGTGATAAAATGTACCTTATTGTTGTTTCCATTACCATTGTTATTGAGATTCCCGTTATTGTCGTTCGTCTTGTCTTGTTTTCTGGCCTCTTCCTCAATTCAAAGTCGAACAATTAGATTCATCATGCTTAATTCAGATTGCTTGTGACGAAGTCCCTTTTGATACTCCTTCTATGAATACGACAGTTTTTCGATAACTGCTGCAACTTTCATCTGTTCATCTACCTTGATTCCTTTTGACACAATTTTGTGAACAATCATCTGTAACTCATGTGTTTGAGCAACTATAGATTTATTTTCTACCATCTGAAATTTAAAATAGTGGCTACAAGCATATTTTTTCGTCCCTGCTTCTTATGTGTCATACTTCGCCTCCAAAGCTTTCCAAATCTTCTTGGCAGAAGAGTAGGAATTAGAATAATAATCATATAACTCATCAGAAAAACAATTGAGCAAATAATTGCGGCAATTATCTTTGACAGTCTCTCATAGTGCTAAATTCTTTTCATGATCTACTAACTCTTCTGCAGTCATACCTTCCTTGTTCACCTTCTTTGGATTTTTTGCAGTGAGAATCCATGTGACCTTCATCAATTTGAGATAAAACAGAACTTTCTTCGCCCATCTTTTGAAGAACAGTCCGCTGAATCGAAACGGTTTGTTAAAATCGTTTGATTCAGCAGATGAAACAGTAGAAGTGGCTATCGCAGAATTCTCCAATGGGTTCATAATCGTCTTAAATTGTTGGAAAAAGTTGGATGCAAATAAAGTGAACGGCAGGGTGAGACGCGGACTAGGTCGCTTTCTTAAGACGATTTGCGCCCCTTTATGAAATAATCACAGTGCAAAAGGTAGTAATGTGTCGTCCCTAGAATACAACAGCCCAACCTATTGACTGTTGCTTCACTCAGATATGCACAATCGAATGAAGCAGAAACTTCACACACACCTTTGAATATTGCCCAAAAACTTATATTGTAAGAAAATAGTTGATATGATATTGTATTGTATATCTCTATACTGGAAATACCTATATATAATATATATGTGTTTAATATGTGTAATTACTTCTATGTTTAATTGGATAATAACTCAGAAAATATGACTGTTGGAATACGAGCCGTTGGAGGTTTTTGGTACTCAGCAATTGAAATTTTATTATAGAAGTAATGACAGAAAATAATTAAACAAAATATTAAAAAGTGGATTTAATGCTAGTTAATATTTTATTTCATTTAGCTAAGCCAGGGGGACCCACTACCCAGGTCATGGACTAAGCACACCAGTGTGGTTCGTAGATTTTAGAAATTTGTATCTCCTCCGCTAGTCCCACCCTTGCGCACGTAAGAGTCACAAGACCTCTTTTTGATTCAAAGGTTAGATAACACTAGTATGTATATGTGTATATATATATATATAATATATATATATATACATATATATTCAAGTATCTTTAGATGTTTAGTCTATGTGAAATTCAATTTTCAAATAAAAAAAACACTCTTTTAATTAAAATAACCTAACAAGTCTCTAAAATTAGATAATTGGGCGATGCTCCATGCATCGCTAGCCTAGAAAAATTAAATAAAATTGGATGACTGATCATCTAGAATAGAAGAAACAGGTAGGAATCATGATTGAAGTGGGGTCGAAGTCTCTGAAATTAGATGAGAAGTAATTGTAATGTGGGTATGAACTTTTTTCATATGAGGCAAATGTGTGGTTGTGGGTGCTTGATGTTATAAAATCTTCTCCCATTAAGAAAAGATGTGTTGGCAAGTGTGAGACAAAAGCTGAGACATTGACAAAAGCTATATCATCGTACAAAAGAATTGGTTTGAAAGCAAATGTGGGTTATTGCAATGTGTAAATCAAAGAAAGACACTTTTTGTTTTGATTAGTATATCAAATGAAAATATATAAAAAAAAAAGAAAAAGAAGGATGAATAAATAAATGAAAAAAGCAAGAAGAAGAAAGAAAAAAAATCAATTAATTTCTCAATGCCTAATAAACTCAATTTATTGCTAGTAAGTATAATAGGGTTTCTTCCATTAGTGAGTATAATAGGGTGATTTGGGTTAAAATGTCTTTTTATTTATAAAGTCATTTGTAAATATGAAATCATTTTTATCTAAATTATTATGTGAAAAGGGTTGGGATACAATTTATTGTACTTATGTCTATATCAAAATTTATTTTTTTATATTTAAATTGTGAGACTTATTTTCACATCTCATTAGAGGTGGTTGCTATTCACGGGCTGTCATGCTTATACAAATATTAACATTTTTCAGGTGAATATCAAAGTGAGGAGTAAGTCTGCAGATAGATAAGAGATTATAGGACTTAAAGATTTATTCTATTATAGGTCTTCAAGATTAAGTGTCATTTATGGTTTTGAGATAAATATTTAATTATTTTAGGAACAATGTTATTTATGTTTGGAATTGTAAACCTTTGATCATTTTATTATATGTCTTTCGTTGTATTATGCATTTGGTTGATTGATTAAGGCCTATGTGATCCTGGGCGGGGCTGTGACACACAGCTCGCTCGCTTGTTTATTTATTTATTATTGTTTATGGTATTGTTAGAAAACCATAACAAACCTATCTGAACTTGACCAATGCTTCAATATGAAAAAAAAAAAATTAAATATGAAAAATGAAATAAGTCCAATAAATACATGTTTTCTCCCATCTCCCTGCTCTATAAATATCCTTCATCCTATTGTAGAATAATGTGTGGTAAAACAATTTTAAGTAGTAGAAAAGCAAAAAGAAAATCGAAGAAGATAGGTTGGTAGGCAAGGCACGCAGCACTCGCTATCTTCGAGATAGTAATTTCTCCATTTATAATGCAGATAGACTCTTGAAAATTCTACCCCCTTAGATACAATGCCTAACTTTAATCTTGAAATCAAAACCCAACCCGAATAGAAAAATCAGAAAATATAAAAGCTTTGAATCAAGAACAAGAAAAAGGATTAAAATCATAATAAATTGTTCTTGCATTTGACCCTTATTTATAGTGTTATATGCAACTCATAATGAAAGAGTGTAACCCTTCAAAACCATGGCAGAAGACACCCCTTGGAAGGGCTACAATAATATAGTCATTAGAGAATAATTTAAACAGAATACCTGTTACGTTCAAACGAGATTTTCACATTAGAACGTACTCAACTCTCAATATCTAAATCCTGAGATTTCTACCAAAGTACTTGGAGCAAGTCACGTTCGAACGTGGGTTGCGTTCGAACGAACTTAAGTTTCTGTATTTCAATTTTTGTCAAAAACTAAGATTCTGAAAAAGTACTAGAAGCGAAGCACGTGCGAACGTAGGTCGCGTTCGACCGTTGTCTCTCTCCTTGTATTTCTTCTTCTTCTTCTATATATATATATACAAAATTATAACTTGAAGTTCTCATTATATAGACCTCCTCTTTAAGAGATTTCCTTGAGACCTTGAGTGGAGGATGAAGTTCTTCTTCTATTTATAGATGAAGATGAATCCATGAAGAACCTCCAAAAACCAACGTGGAATTATTATCTTTCCTCTCCAACTCATATACTCCAAATGTTTTGGAGAGAAGTGAAAATTTTCACTTTCCCACCGATCTCAATCTAAAAAGTACTATTATACTTTATGTATACTATAATATATCACTATTAGTAAATAACTATATATATATATATAACACATCCATGAGTACTCCCATTGTAAAACACTAAAACATTCGTCACTATCTCTTTCTCTCTCTGACCATGGCTACATTGTGCATAGCAACACTTGGTAGTTCTGTTTTACCAAGGAGTCCATCACCGGCTCATTTGGGTTCCTTACAGAGACCAAACCAATTCATTACTGGCCCTATTGGGGGAGTCCCATATCTGAAGAGTGCAAGGAAGGGTTCGTCTTCGTCTCCTCCTTTTACCATAAGATGCTTGAAAGGTGTTGCTGCCCCTACACCCGATATTCTTAGTCGCTTTTTCAATGGAGGAGTTACCCCAACCCCTATTCCAGACCCAAGAGCCGTTACAAGGCAAGACTTCCCTCCTGATTTTATTTTTGGCTGCGTCTCTTCTGCTTTGCAGGTCTCTCTGTCTCTCTATGTAATATATATATTATGTGTTCATATTGGTCATTGTTGTGGGTGTTAATTAAAATTCACAAATCTTATGGTGCAGAACACTAGTATGAAATAAAAAAAAAAAAAATTAGACTCCACTGATGATGAGATAGAGCGAAAACTAGTTGAAGCTTAACATATTATTGTTTTAAAATTTTTTATTGAAACTAGAAATTCAAATAGGAAGTTTTAAAATTTTCTTTTTATTCCAACAGTGGGTTTATTGTTTTTTTTTGGTTCTCTTTTGGTCAGTGTTGCGTTTGTATTGCGATGTGATATTTATTTGGACTATGTTGCAGACGGAATCATCGGCAACAGAAGGAGGGAAAGGATCTAGCACTTGGGATTCTATGCTCGAAGGTGGAATTGGAGTCGACTCATACAATCGATACCTAGTAAATGAAATCCAAAACTCTACTCTTACTTGATCAAGATCATGTCACACATAACAATTTTTTAAAACTAGAAGGAAGTTTAACATTGAGTTTACAACCTTATGAGATGCAAATGGGTAATAGTTGAAAATGGGTAATGGATGTATGTATTGAGTAGTCTAATAATTTTGTATGCATGGTGTAATAGGACAATGTGCTACAGCTTGTGAAAATGGGAGCGGATGCTTAAAGGTTATCATTCTCTTGGTCTAGGATCCTCCCTGGTATGTTCTTAGCTACCCTTATAAATGACAAAATTCATTATTAATAATACTCTTCATATTTAATATAGTAACTCAATTTATCGACTTAGTTCATCATAGTCTTTGGATTAATAACAGGTCACAACTTAATAGCTGTTGGCCAAAAATTTGAACCACTATTGTGACAAATGATAATTGGTTGTTCTTGGAAATGTTAGTCTAAATAAATATTTGGACCAAAATGGTCAGTAATTTAGAACTTACAGATCAAGTCAAGTGATTAAACTTGGACTACTAATATTTGGCACTACTTTCAACCTCGAAATGGATGTAAAATAATAAATAAATATTAAATATTAAATAATGAATATTTGGCACTACTTCCATGTAAATTTCAATTTATAGCATGTAAAATAATAAATATTTCAAAATAAATGGATGAGGTGATTTCTTTAAAAAAGAAGGAAAATTTTGTAATAACTGGTCACTCCTTACAATATACTTTTATTGCAAGATCTATAAACAATAACTGGTCACTCATTACATTATAATTTTATTGTCAGATCTATAAACAATTTATAGTAATAGTATAAATAAGGGTATAACACATCATTAAATCATTGAATTAAATTAAATTTTACGTTCCAAGAAGTATTACTTATTTTCATGTTATTTTTTACATGACTCAACAATCCACACCACCACCATTAGTGTCCCAGGTAAAACGCCATATATCTCGATTGATTGGTGTTTTTGATGTTGAAAAAATGCAGATCGAACAATAGCTGGCGGTATAAACCGACAGGGTATTGATTTCTACAACAAGTTCATTGATGAACTAGTCAAGTATGGTAAGACATTATTCATTTCACTTGCTTTGAGCTCTTTTAATGAGCTGCTCGAATAGGACTATGAAGCTTGAGCTGTTTCAATGCATCTTTGATTCTCTCTCTTCCATGATAAACGAAAATTTTAACGCAGGTATAACTCCAATTGTGACACTTTTCCACTTCGACTTGCCCACGGCACTACAAAATAAGTTCTATGGGTTCTTGGACAGCCAGATTATGTAAGTGTCTTGCTCACATTTACATTAATTTATTGTTCGATAACCCCTTTTCTATATAATTTATTAAATCAAAACAATACATTTTCTAAAAAGTAAAAGCAGTTTTAGTTAGCAAAAATGATCTAGAACTAATTAGTCCATATAAAGAGTACAATTATATTTAAAAGGTGGATTACGGGTTCTTAACAAAAAAAAACTAGCTAATCTAACTTTATATTAAATTTAATTGCCAATAACACTCACTATTATGTTCATGCTTATTTCGTACACATATAATATATGCATATATATGAATGTTGCCCTTTATTGGTATTCTTGATTATATTAATACCACCTGTCGACAAGGGAGAGCTGCTTGAGGACTGGGGGGGGCCACGTGTCCATCCTCAATTTTTTTTAAAAAAATATTACTTATGTATATCAAATAATTTGAAGTATGTTTAAGTGTGTCCACTCTATTATTTTTTGTTCTATCAATTAGTATAGTTCCTTACCTAAATAATTATGAATTTTTTGACACACTTTGACACTTTAGAGATATATTTATATAAGTTTTTGACATGTCGAACTCATTTTTTTAAGCTATAGAGATTCCAATTAAAAAAAAAGGCTATAAAGATTATGACAACTAGGTAACTTAATTAAATGAGTGATCAATGACTAATAGTGTGATCATATATATGGAGAAATGTTATAGTATCTTTTATGCAGTTTGTTTCATTTGTTATGAAGGGACATAATTAACCTCTTTTTTTTATTTATGTATGCTATATTTATCAAAGTTTCATCCTTTTTGTATTTTATGAATTTTTAAGTATCCAATACAATATAATAAATTTGAATATTTTTTTTTTATTGATTAGAAGAAAGAAAATTAAATTTTTTTAGTAAAGTGCCCACTCTAGACATAATTTCTAGCTCCGCCCCTGCTGCAGGGGTGGTATTATAATCTAGTTCAACCGTACTATGTTATAAATTTACTTTTTTGCCCATATAATAAACAAAGACATGGATAACTAAACTATATTGATGGTATTTTTGATTAATATGTAATTAGTACTGTGGCATTAGTACTTTGACCTAAGTGAACTAACTAAACATAAATTTGGTCCGAATAACTATTATCCTAGTACTCTTAATCTGGTGTTTTACCAAACACCGAATTACAATGGATATAATTTTTGATTGACATTTAATCTTGTGTTTTACTCGTTTATACGGAATTAGCTTGAATTACTTATACAATATTCCTTTTTTTTTATGATACTACAACTAAACAATACGTTCTATAGCACAATACGTGATATAAGATTATAAGAAAGGAGTAAGCAATGGAAAAGGCAAATATAAAAATTCAATGAAAAAAGATAATAAGAAAAAGAAAAACAGCAAAAAAGAACTACTTTCCCAAGTGTTACCAAAGTTCTTAATAACCGGTTTCCATTAAATTTTCTTACTTTTGAGTACTTTGTGATTTTTAAACTTAGAGATGACTTCAAAGCCTACGTTAATCTTTGTTTCCAAACATTTGAAGATCGAGTAAAGTACTGGGTTACTGTCAACGAGCCACAAATTTTTGCACAATATGGGTACAGTGCAAAGTTGAACAAACCAAATCCACAGAAAGCAATTTATATATATATATATATGTGTGTGTGTGTGTGTGTGTGGGTACAAGTATCCTAGGCCTGATGTGGTATAGTTTAAAGATAGAAATACTGTTTTTCCATAGGCAACTCAAAAAGGAGAGATTGGTATTCCACTGGTGACCCAATGGTTTGAGGCATATGAACCCGGGCGACCTGATAAAGATGCAGCTATGAGAGCGTTTGACTTTCAGATGGGATGGTTAGTCAAGTTGTATTATTTTTTTCTTACTTAAGCAATGTAAATAGTGATACCAAATAAGGATTAAACTCCAACGATTCAACTAGATTTTTGGAGCCCCTGATATATGGTGACTGTCTGTTCATAATGAAAGCTCTGGTGAGCGATGCACTTCCAACATTTATTGATGAACAAAAAACTTTAGTTCTAGGGTCATATGATTTCATCGGTGTTAATTACTATGCTTCTAACTATGCACAAGGTCTTCCAATGTTAGGTTCAAATGATACTATTACAAGCCTAGCTGATTTCCAGCGCGTTAAACTCACATGTAAGTTTTATTAGAAAAAACCCCATTTTTCTGCAATATAGCCAATAAAATTTCTAATTTGTGATAAAAACTATTTTGGAACAAAAAATGTGTTGTTAATAAATTAGAATTATCTTATCTCTTCTTATTTATCATGCTTGACCCAACTATGAATAGCAAGGGGGACCTCATTGGGCCACCAGTAAGATAATTTATTTGCAAGTCACTTAGAGTTGACTTATATGATTGATTCTCGACATTTATAGTTAATCAAAAAATTGATGTCTTGGTTAATTACAATCTAGGCACCAAGGAGCGATCAAATTTATGTTTATCCACAAGGGTTAAGGGATGCACTGGTACATATAGGCAGTACTTATGGCAATCCCAAAATCATCGTCACTGAGAATGGTTAGTTCAATACAGTTATAACTAAGTTTTAAAATCTTGATTATTGTTAGTTCTCTACTAAGACAATGAACTCACTTTCCCCAATAGGATACCTAGAGAAACGAGATGACAACATTCCAGTGGAGTGTGCCATACAGGATGATGGTTGAATTGAACATATGATTGGTCATCTTTACGCAATTTCAGAAGCGATAAAGTAAGCAAAACTAATTTTTTTTTCTCCTTTATTCCTTATGATAATCAACTATATATGGTTGTCTTATTTGACTGTTACTATGTGTTTCCTGGAATGCAGGGCGGGAACAGACATCAAAGGTTACCTCGTGGGCTTTGATGGATTGTATGGAAGTGGGATCAATTTATAATGTTCGGTTTGGCCTTGCCTACGTAGACTATCTCAACAACTTAGAGCGAACAGCAAAGAAATCCTCAAGTTGGCTCTATTCTTTCTTGAATACGCCCGCAGCCAAACCCACACCCACACCTAAAAAACGAAAATCAATGGTTGTTTGATGCTAAGCTATATCATTTGATGCCAATGGACTTTGTTTGCCACTTTTCATTTACTTATCTCCCATATAAGGGAAGGAGGGGGAGTAGGTGGTGTTATCTTTTTCTTCCTAGAGGCATCTATGTTTTGTCAAGAATAAATATAGTACTTAATATTTCAAGTATTGTGCCCTATGTAACAGTTTCAAATAATCGATTGCAGTGAAATTCTAATGTCATCTAATTATATTTTGAGCAGAATAAATCAGAATGGATAGTTAAGTCTATATCAAATATTACTACTAACAGTTAGTTATATTTCAAACTTACTAAATACAATCCATGAGCTTTGAAGTTGTATAATGGTAGAATGATCATCTTATTAATAACTTTCACTAATAATTATGTATAGTTAGTTATCTCCGTGTCATTTTTATAATTGGAATGGAATGGTCTTATTTCACAAGAACTCGATGTTTATTCATGTAATTTTCCTAAGTTAAATATTTGTTCCCTCAAACAACTTAGCTAGCACATGTGAAACTGGCATTTAGTAGATAAACACAAAGAATGGTCAAATCCTATCTGTTACTTCGTTTCCATTAAACTGTTGTTTTCTTTTCTTTTTTTTTTTTTTGATGAATTAAGCATGAAAAATTTAAGGCATCGATATTATGCAATGAAGCTAAAATCAAAATTTTTTTGGGGGGTGGGAGGGGAAATAAACCAAAAAATGTGGACCGGAGAGTTGAAAATTCCTTCACATTTTCTTGAAATCAACATTTATTGGGAAGTAAGGTAGGGACACACAAGAAACCTCTTTTCAAGTCAAACAAGAAACCAATTATTTTTATCAAAATCCCAATTTTTGCCAAAGACAGACATTCTACGACTAACATTATATTTCGTCACAAAAAAATGCTCATCGCCGAATGTGGCTACAAGGCGCGTATTTTTTGATGACAAACTTAGTCGTTGAGAATCAAATAATATTTTTTTTAATGATTTATTTAAGGGTGACACTATTCAGCAATAATATTAGTTCATAGCTAAAAAATAATAAATTTTTGGCAGCAATAATTTTGTATCGATGACAAAATTATATTGTGAAACCTGTTTTTTCCCTCCTCTTTTTCCCTTATCTTTTTCTTATTCCCTGTTTTTTGGTTCTTGTCTTCTCCCCCAAGCAGCTATGTTCTCTTTCTCGTTTCTGTGCAAGATAAGTATGCATTCTCTCTTTCTCTCTATCTCTCAATATCAAAACCCATAGTTACTATAACCCTAACCTAAACCCTAACCCTAGCCCACCACACACACAAGCACACAATATACCTGTAGAAACTAGGAACAACATGCAAACAATTGTTCTAGTATGCTCATGTACACACACTCGCGCATAGATACGGTCATTGATATAATTCTTTTTTTTATTTTTTTTCAGAAGGTAAAATGTGTAAAAATAAAGCAGATATACAAGGGTAATCACCCGCAAAATGTACAATGAAGTCACCAGGGACCCAAAGACAAAACAAGAAAACCCAAAAATCTAGGGCTCAAGACACAAGTCTGTAAGAGATGCCCTAAGTAAGAGCATCTACCATAAAATTGTTGACAAGAATACATTGGTAGACAAAAGAAGATAGAGCATGAAACCAATTTTTCCCCCAAAACATCACTGATATGCAAGGAGGCAGACCAATAACAACAAGGGGTCTTGTGAATCCATAGCAAACTATATGCAGTAACAAGAAATCAGAACAAAGCAGAGTAGCCTATCTCAACATAGCAGTAGTAAACATCAAACGGACAGCCACATAACAAGCAAACACATCGCAGAGCAAAGCAAAAACTGTCCAGCTCCATATAGCAGCAACTGCAATGCTACCTTATCAAGCATCAGCAGCTAGCACAAAGACAAAAACCAGCACCAGTAACCAGCCCAAACACAGCAAAAACGTCCAGCAAACAGCCCCCAACACAGCCCAATTCAAAAGACGAAAAAAAACAGCACCAGCAACACATCCCAACGTCAAGTAAAAAACATCAAGCACTTGTCATGGAGTTCCACACTAGAACATTCCATACAATAAAAAGAACAACAAATGTTGTCCATCCAAACGAAAGGAAAACCAGGGTTCATGCTATGCGGTTGAGAGGAAGATCCCATAGATGCAGCATCCTTAGATTCTGGGTGGAGTATTTGAATTTAGTAGACATGAGCTTGTCCTTGACTAATTGTTTGATGATTCGAATTAGAGAGTTGTGGTCCCTGAATTGGTTTGAGGACACTCTGGAGTTCCTCTCCATCCATAAATGATCAACTGTGGAAGCAAGGCTAAGTTTAAGTATGACCGAGCGCATAGATCTCCCATTCCAATGGTTAGCAGCCCAGTTGATGAAGAAGTGCCAAGGAGAAGGAGACCACTGAATTTGGTTGCAGGCGAGAATGGATTCCCATACACTGTGGGAAAAGGTGCATTCAAAAAATAGATGAACATGAGTCTCAGGGAGTTGCCTACAAAAGATGCACCCCAAGTCCACCTGATTGGCAAGAGAGAGAGATCTGTCTTGGTATATAATCTTTGTCTAATGGCAAGCCATAAGATAAAGCTCATCCTGGGGATGAGATGTGTGGGCCAAACAAGCTTCGACCAAGAAATTTTCTACCCAGAAACTTTGATGTAGTGCCAAGCAGAAGTGGTAGTAAAACGACCATTGGCAGCGAGAGACCAAAGGACATTTTCAGCAGCAAGATGGTTGGGGGAATAAGCAGGCATAGAATCAACACTCTTGGCCAGAGCAGGAGAAGGGGAGTTGGGCCAACACCATTGAGACCCAGAGAGATGTAGCTAACTTTGGAACAAAAATTGAGTGCAGAGGCAAGCATGGGAATATGACCCTATCTTTGGAATAGAGGACCACTAGGATGCCAACTATCAAGCCATAGAAAAGTATCATAACCATTACCAATTTTATGAGTCAAAAGAGGTCTGATAACCTCCCTTAGCTTTAAAATATTCTGCCATGTCCAAGAGCTCGTTGGGGTAGCTTTGATTTCCCAAAGACTTCTCCCTCTTAGGTGGTAAGAGTGAATCCACCTTGACCATAAGGCCTGCTTGTCAGTGAATAACTTCCAAATGTGCTTCATAAGCAAGACAGTATTCCAATCCACCCTCATCTTTAGGTTTGCAAACCTCAGTCCATGCCACTTTAGCACCAGTGTTCTTCAAATCAACACCCTTCCATAGAAAAGCCCTCATGAGCTGCTCAATTTTATCAATTACAGACTGTAGAAATGCAAGATATGAGGACCAGAAGACTTGAATGGAGCTGATGATAGAGGTCACAAGTTGGAGCCTACCTGCATAAGACAACAATCTATTAGTCCAGGAACTAATCCGCTTTCTGATTCTCTCCACATGACCTTCACAGTGCTACTTTTTGAGTCTAGATATGATAAAGGGAATGCCCAGATATGTAACAGGAAGGACCCCTTCTGCTAGGCCCAAAAGATGAGAGATTTGGGATTTGACATCAAGTAGAGTCCCACAACGATAGATAAAGCTTTTCCCTAGATTAATCTGCAATCCAGAGATGGCTTGAAACTATTGTAATGAAAGATGGAGAACCTTAACTGAGGTAAGGTCACCATGACTGAACATCAGAAGATCATCAGCACAAGCAAGGTGGCTAAGTTTGATTTTCTTGCATCTTCAATGGAACTTAAAAGGGTGGAGAGATATATTCTTTTGCACAATTAGAGTAAGCACCTCCATTGCAATGACAAATATGTAAGGAGACATGTTGTCCCCCTGCCTAACCCCCCTTTTGCTAGGAAAGAAACTAGCCAGCTCGCCATTAACATAAACAGAGAATCTTAGAGACGATAAGCAAGCAAGAATCCATATCCTCAATCTGTTAGGAAAATTAAAGGCTTCAAGTGTCTCAAGTAAGAAGTTTCAATCAAAAGTATCAAATGCTTTCATGAGGTCAATTTTGATGGCACATCTTGGTGAACCTTTGTCGTTATGGTAGTTCCTTAGCAGCTCTTGGGCTAAAAGTATGTTATCCCCAATACTTCTACCTTGAATAAATGCAACTTGGTTAGGATTGATAATCTCAGGTAAAATCCTTTTGATTCTAGATGCAATGATTTTGGAAATAACCTTGTAAATGGTGTTACAACAAGAAATAAGCCTAAACTCGCTCATGGTGCTTGGGTTGGGAATTGTAGGAACAAAGGCCAGAATGGTGGCATTAAGCTCTTTGAGGAGCTTATCAGTAAAAAAGAATTTATGAATTGCAGCACATACAAGCTCCCCAATAGAAGGCCAAGACTTTTTAAAAAAGTATGAATTGTAACCATCAGGCCCAAGAGATTTCATATCCTTAACGGAGAAGAGAGTATTCTTGATTTCCTCATAAGTGACCTCAAGTTCCATTTCAGCAGCTTGTGCATCAGTGAGCCTGTTTTGAACAATCTCAGAGAACATTTCTCTTCTTTCAGTGGATGAAAAGGTAAAACCTGTGGATTCCAAGAGCCTTTGAAAAAAACCAACTGCCTCATCTTTGATCTCTTGAACCCCTTCAGCAGTTGAACCATCCATTCTTTTCAAGGATAGAATCTTTTTTCTATTCTCCTGCCAATCATAGATTTAAAGAAAAAGGAGGTATTTTGATCCCCATCTTTCAACCATTGAACCCTAGATTTTTGTTTCATGACAATCTCTTCATTCCTAGCAGCATCCAGGTAGTTAGAAAGGAGACGTCTCTCCTCCAATCTCAAGTTAGGATCAAATTGATTGACATCCAGTTTGGCTTGACAAATTTCGAGGGCAGATTTGGCTTTATGGCCCTAGCAGTTGTTTCACCTAGGTCCTTACTCTTCACTTTAAACATAGCCTTTAATCTCTTGAGCTTGCAACATAATTGAAATTGGTATGATCCATTATCCCAAACACCCCAGGCTTGATTGACCATCTCAAGAAAGTCAGCTCTATCTGCCAAGCAGTTAAAAAATTTGAAAGGAGTTCTCCTCTTACCAAATTCTTCCCCAATTTTGACCACAACTGGGCTGTGATCAGAGACACCAGGAGCTAAAAATTCAGCACTTGACTGTTGGATCATCTTGTTCCAAGCTTCATTGACANAAGTATGTTATCCCCAATACTTCTACCTTGAATAAATGCAACTTGGTTAGGATTGATAATCTCAGGTAAAATCCTTTTGATTCTAGATGCAATGATTTTGGAAATAACCTTGTAAATGGTGTTACAACAAGAAATAAGCCTAAACTCGCTCATGGTGCTTGGGTTGGGAATTGTAGGAACAAAGGCCAGAATGGTGGCATTAAGCTCTTTGAGGAGCTTATCAGTAAAAAAGAATTTATGAATTGCAGCACATACAAGCTCCCCAATAGAAGGCCAAGACTTTTTAAAAAAGTATGAATTGTAACCATCAGGCCCAAGAGATTTCATATCCTTAACGGAGAAGAGAGTATTCTTGATTTCCTCATAAGTGACCTCAAGTTCCATTTCAGCAGCTTGTGCATCAGTGAGCCTGTTTTGAACAATCTCAGAGAACATTTCTCTTCTTTCAGTGGATGAAAAGGTAAAACCTGTGGATTCCAAGAGCCTTTGAAAAAAACCAACTGCCTCATCTTTGATCTCTTGAACCCCTTCAGCAGTTGAACCATCCATTCTTTTCAAGGATAGAATCTTTTTTCTATTCTCCTGCCAATCATAGATTTAAAGAAAAAGGAGGTATTTTGATCCCCATCTTTCAACCATTGAACCCTAGATTTTTGTTTCATGACAATCTCTTCATTCCTAGCAGCATCCAGGTAGTTAGAAAGGAGACGTCTCTCCTCCAATCTCAAGTTAGGATCAAATTGATTGACATCCAGTTTGGCTTGACAAATTTCGAGGGCAGATTTGGCTTTATGGCCCTAGCAGTTGTTTCACCTAGGTCCTTACTCTTCACTTTAAACATAGCCTTTAATCTCTTGAGCTTGCAACATAATTGAAATTGGTATGATCCATTATCCCAAACACCCCAGGCTTGATTGACCATCTCAAGAAAGTCAGCTCTATCTGCCAAGCAGTTAAAAAATTTGAAAGGAGTTCTCCTCTTACCAAATTCTTCCCCAATTTTGACCACAACTGGGCTGTGATCAGAGACACCAGGAGCTAAAAATTCAGCACTTGACTGTTGGATCATCTTGTTCCAAGCTTCATTGACAAGAGCTCTATCAAGTTTCCTTGAGATACTAATATCCTCAACTCTCATATCTGACCAAGTAAATTGAAAACCAGAGTATCTTAGATCAACCAGTTCCGAATCTTGCAAACAAGTGTCAAAATCTTCCATTAAATTGGTCCATCTCCCTGAGCAGACCTTAGGTTCATTGACTTCTAATGGTGTTAAAGTCACCAAGAATTAGCCATGATTCAGAACCAAAGACACCTGCATGATATATGATGTTCCTCCATAAGTCCTTCCTGTCATGCTCCTCATTAGATGCATAAACAACCGAGATGAAAAAAGATGATTTACTGTCTAGGTGTTGTACATGAAAGTGAATAATCTGATCCGTCTCAGAAATAATGTTGACTTGTAGGCTATTTGGATTCCAAGCAACCCAAATTCTTCCCAAAATATGGCAATTATAGTTATCAACATAACTCCAATCCCTAAACACTTGCCTCATAATGAAGGCCTTATTAATCTGTCTTACTCTTGTTTCCAAAATCCCAATAAGATCCAACTGGTTACTATTTATAAATTTCCTTATTTCTTCTTGTCTAGAGGACTTGTTGAGCCCTCTAATGTTCCATCTTGCTATCTCCTTTAGATTTATACTGGACAGCATCCTTAGGAGTTCCTTCGTTGTTGAATTTCACTCTATGGCAGCTAGACTCATTGTGCCCAAAGATATTGCAAGAACAATAGACTTTAGGTTTCCATTGGTATTCCACCATAATTTCCACCATTGCTGACCACCATCAACATCAAGTTGTAGATCAAAAGACTCCACAAGCTTGGTTTTAGCCTTAACTTCAACACAAACTCTAGCAAAAGATATTCTCTTCTTATTAGCAGTAAGAGAATCTGCGTGCAAGGGCATACCAACTGCACTAGCAATGTAACTCAACCCCTCCTCACTCCAGAATTGTAGAGGAACATTGTGCAGTTTCACCCACAGGGGAATCACAGATTGATCCTCCTTGGAGAGGATAAGGTCTGCATGCCATTTCCTAAGGATGAGTGGCCTTCCTGAGAAAAGCCATGGATCCTCTTCAAAAACCTTAGTTCTATAAATATCATCCATGAATTTGAATAAAAAGAACCCTTTTCCGTCCGCAAGGACTTCGAGAAGCCCCATTCTGTCCCAAATCCTATGGGCAATATTATTAACCACATAGTACGGAAGTTTTTTCTCAACAAAATACCCAACCAAGGATGTCTCCCATTCAAGGCTTCCTCTCTTAACCACTTCCTTGGGTGGTTTAACCGTAATGCGTTCATAGTCCTTGATGGGCTCAAAGTACTTCAGTTTCATCTTTGAGAAAGACTCACCCGATTGTGGATGCTGAGCAGCATCTTTGCCATGCTTAACAACCTGACACCAAGAACTAGCAACTGTCACTGGCCTAACCTAGTTTTGAGGGATTTCCACAACTGGGTCAGCAGTAGTTGCAGCAAGAGGGGCATTAATAGTTCCTTTAGGCAGAACATTGGAAGTAGGGGAAGCAATTCCTTCATTTCTGGAACCATCAGAGCAAATCAATGCTGGAACAGAGGTGGTAACGGCAACTCTGCCATTCCGTACATTCCCATCCACGGGTGGGAAAGAGATGCAGATGTGTGGGGATTCATCTCTGGAGCAGATTTGACTAAGCTTGAGGTTTCAGTGTTTCTTCATCTTCGTTATTATGCTCCTTTTCTGGGTATATCTTGCTTGGATTCATAGTTGCTCACTGCACCAATAGATGTACCATGTAGATGAGAAAAGCAGAGAATGAATTCTAGGGCTGCCTGAGAAAATTGAAATTATAAGTCAAACTCAAAGTGCAATAGAAAAGCCCAGATGAAATCTTTGAACCAAAACCCTTATTAGGCCGAAGCTCTGAGAAAAAGAGTTATTATGAGAGAGGATAGATATAATTCTTACTGTAAATAGTACTTTTGTTTTAAAAAAAGAGTAATGTTAGATAGATTTAAAAATTAGACTTAAAAATTAGATTTGATAATCTCAACCATTGAATAAGTAGTGAGTTTTAATAAATGCTGAGACCCACAATACAATCAATGATTGAGATTATCAAGTTTAATTTTTAAATTTATCTTTTAAATTCATGTACCGTCAAAAAAAAATACTGAGATAATATGAGGTGTGTGATGTCAAAGTGAACAGTCAGTTGTTTGAGTGTGTGCACTAACCTAAATAAATGTGGGTGTCGTGTTAATTGGCACTCAGCTACAAAAGAATAAATTAAAATGAAAAATGTCAATAATGATATAATTTTATGAGCAATGTTATATATTGTAACCTAAAATATTGGTATATTTTATTGATATAATGATATATTAAGTGATGAAGTCTCGATAAATAAGTCCAAGAGTTATAATCATAATAATCCCATTAAATCACATGACTGTTACATCATTAGATAAGTATGTCACATCATTAGATAAGTAGATTGCTCTAATTTTAATGATTAATACTATTGAAACCTAAAAAATTGATCTAACTTATTGAATAATGTGTCAAGTGATAGAATATCGATCAATAAGTCTAAGTTAGAGTTACAATCACAATAACACAATTAGAAAATCAGGTCTTCATGATACCGACTGCTGGAATCTCCTTCAGTCTCCAAAGCTTATCTGCAGAGCTTCACTACTAGTGGATTCTCTCCATTGGTTGCATGTCTTTGGTATCTGTTCTTTCAAAGTGAATACAGGCTCCTCTTCTTTTCATCTCCTTCAATCGTTGAATTTGCAGAGCTTTTTTGGCTTCTGCATATCTCAATTAGCGTTTTGGACTTTCCAAATTCTTTAAAAATGGCCTTTCATTGTAACAGGCTATCAAGTCTATTCATTTTCAGTATGTTAACCTATCACATAGCTCTTCCCCTGACCTATCAATGAGGGCGGCTGCATTATCCGATGTCTTCTCATATGCCCTTTCAAAGTCCCACCATATGCCTTGTCAGTTTCAGCTCAGTCATAGCTCTGCTCAAATTTCGTCCAGTTTTAGCAGTTCAACTCAACATATCCAGCTGCTACCATTATCGTAGCCCACATTTAGGTTGCACCTTACAATGCAGCATGCTTAGGAATTTTTTCTTTCATTTATTATGTAACAGGCAAGCATTTTGTTCCTTTTTTTTAATTTTTAATTTATGCAATTATATTATATTAAGGGGTAAGGTACATATGTCCCTCTGACTAAGTGTAATTTAATTTTTCAATTAATAAAATTTTCTTACACTGTCGAGGTTCACCCAAAAAAAAAAAATTACTACATCATTAAGTCAATAAATTAGATCAATTTTTTAGTTATTAGCACTATTACTCAATTTTAATATGGAAAACAATGGATATAACAAGTTTTTTGAATTTATCATAATAGCACTTGTTTTTTTGGGTGACTGAGAACTGTGAGTTTATGATTGAGATGCTGTCCTTTTTCCTTCAATTTAATTAAATAATAAATTATTTATTATAAATTCAAATAGAATCCGTTATCTACCCTTGGGACTATTTTCGATCAGGACTGCACTAGGTAGAGACCTAATGTTTGAATTATACTCATACTGATATCTAATCTTTACGTGGCAAATGTACACTATGTTGATAAGCAGCTATTCACTTTTTTAGGTCCTTCTCCCCCTCTTCGCTCTTAGTCCTCTCCTCC